TGACCTGTCAGCACAGAGCCCAATGCAGGGCTTGAACTCACAGAATATGAGATTAGACCTGAGCCGAAGTCAGATGCTCAACCAAATGAGCCATCCAGGCGCCCCTTGCTTCTTTTTTAAGTAGACTCCATGTCCAATGTGGAACTTAAACTCATGACCCTGAGATCAAGAGTCACATGCTCTGCTGACTGAGCCAGCCAGGAACCCCATTAACATCTTTTGATTCATATATAAGATGGATCATTCCTGACAAATTTTGAGATTTCTCTCTCTCTCTTTATCTGTCTACCCATCTGAAATCTCTGAAGAGGAAGGTCATTTAAATCAAACTGTTATTAAGACTGAACCTCATAATCTAACACTTAAGTCTGCTGGATGTTGGTGGGAGATTAGTAATGTGTATGGTATATTCAATATCCAATGCTGTCTTATCCCCCCATAAACATGCCCAATAAAGATTAATTAGGAGGAGACAGGTTAGAGCTATGTTTTATATTAAGAAGATTTTCTATATACTTAAGATATGATTCTGTTGTCAGAAAAGAGTTAATTTTGCACTGTATTCCAGGTTTCCCTGGGAAGATAGAATTTAAGTACAGAAAATATGCTTACTTGGCCAGTTTTTGTAGTAATCCTAACACAATAAAATAGTAATAATAGCTAACATGTCCAGCATGCTCACTGTGTGCCAGGCAGTGTTAAGTCCTTTGTATTCAACTTTTCTTCTAGTTTCAAAACAGCATTAGGAGGAGGGAGCATTACTCTCTTGAGGTTACAGACATGAAAGCTGGTGCTTTGAAGTTAGAGTTCATGCAAGATCACCAGCAAGAGCATGAGCCCAGGTCTTCTCAGTGCAGGGCACTATTCTTTAATCATAATGCTGGACTGCTCTACCAAGTTCAAGGTGGCCCTTTTTACATAATCACATCCTTATTCAGAGAGGCTGACATTCTCCAATAAACAGACCAATTCCTTACCTTTAAGAACTCCTAATTTCTTCTACTTTCCAACCACTGTCTGCTTTGATTTCCCAGATATTCCATAAAAATCTGTTTTGTAGGCTCTCCAACCTTTTAAAATGTTTGTACGCACTCCTCATATACCTAAAAGTTGTGTTCCTGTCCACAAACTGAATGACACATTTGTAAACACTTCCTTGGAGGACCTGCGTGTGTTCAGGGAGATGATGTGGGTTGTAGCAGCATGTGTAAAGATTGTTTTCTTGCTCACAATTGAAAATGCATCGCCATTTTAGTTCTGCGTGGGGGTCCTCTCACTGGAAACTACAGGCTGCGGCAGTTTCACCTGCATTGGGGGTCTGCTGATGATCACGGCTCTGAACACGTGGTGGATGGAGTGAGATACGCTGCAGAGGTAATCCAACAGACATAGATGCATGATTTGGTGTTTTCCTAGGTGATGGGATTTAAGGAACGCAGAGGGCAACTCTCTTGACTCCAAATTGATCCTGAGTCAGGTTTCTCGGTGTCTGAAATTGCTTTATTCAATCAACATGAGAGTTTATCAATATGAGAGCGATCAGTGTGGCTCTTCTGAGTCTTATACCAATTCTGAGAGCTTAGGGTTATTGTGCTCATTCTAGAAATGAGTAAACTGCAGATTTGGAGAGATTAAGTAACTTATCCAATTAGGGGGTGGGTAAGATGGGTTTAAATTCAAGTTTGTCTGATACCAAATTACAAATCTTTCTATACTATCTATTGTGCTTCCCAAAAGTCCACTGAGAAGGCAGAGAAAGAGACATTTGATTTGGACCCAAATGTGTACGTATTTGGTCCAGAGAGAGATACATACTAATATCATATTTTGTAGAGGTAATAGTGAATGGCGGAGTTTCTTGTAGGGAAGAAAAAACAAAGACACAGATTCTCCTAAACTCTACATTACCTCTATAATTACAGGTATAGAATGGAATCTGTTAATTATTAAGGTCATTGGTAAAGCATAACACAATAAAGCATTCATTGACTCTTTAAAAAATTTTTAATGTTTATTCACTTTTTGAGAGATAGAGACAGAGCGTGAGTGGGGGACAGGCAGAAAGAGAGGGAGACACAGAATCTGAAGCAGGCTCCAGCCTCTGAGCTGTTAGCACAGAACCTGACGCAGGGCTTGAACTCACGGACCGCGAGATCATGACCTGAGCCGAAGTTGGCCACTTAACTGACTGAGCTGCCCAGGCACCCATCATTGATTTTTTTTTTAAATTGGAAAGTCACTTCTTTATAATTATATTTGTTAATAATACTCTACTTTTTCTAATCCTCTGTTCAATGACAAAGCATAATATACTTCAAGTTTTCATACTGTTAAATATTGCTAACACCCAACTTTTTCATGAAGCGAAAGTGAATTATTGTATGACTCAACCAAAGCTGTTTATGTGAAAATAATTTGGCTTGTGAGCCATCTAGGTGAGACAGAGCAGTGTTACCAGGCCAGTAAAGTTCTTCTTCATTTTCTCATGGTTACTGAGCTGTGGAGTATGGATACTCCTTTATAATTCTGCTGTTCAGAGAAATCCAGCCAACAGAACTTTTTTCCAGTTTTGCTCTTCCATTCACAGGTACATCTATTCTTTGAGTCTATCAACCAAAGTATCCATTTTGTCAACTTAAAACACTTTTGTCTGAGGCCAAGTGCTTAAGGTGTGGGACCTGCTCTGTTTTTAGGATGGAGAAATAAAATGTATATCCAAAGTGTTCCGTGCCAGTGGAGAAAAGAAGCCAAGAATGTAGGAAGTGGGACTTCTGAATCTGTGTGGTGCCTCAGTTTATATCATCTGCTGAACAGTTTTTATGTTGCTTTCTCACATTTTGTGTTCTAAATCACACATTTTGTTCTGAATCTTAAAGGCTTTGTGGGGATTGAGCTGGTTTTGGATTACTGCTTTGTAATATTCCTAAACAACTAAGAAAAATTAGTCACATTGCTTTATGGTTTTACTTTCTAGTTTCATAAACTTGAATGCATACTCTCAGAGAGATCTTATCTGAGCTGGCAAGTTGTTTCTTGAAAAGGGCACCCATATCCTGAAATTTTCCAGAAGCTCGGAGTCCTGACTTGCAGAGCAAGAAACATCTTTGTAGACTTTCCTTCTTGAAGGAGATAAAGCTTTGACTGGAATTTCATATATTCTTTAATATATGTTTAAGACTATTTCTTATTTTGTTCATTTGTTCATGAATTCATTCACTCTTTAAGAATTCATTGTGACCCTACTATGTCCCCCATGTTTGCCTAGCTGACTTGTGCTCATCCTGAAGGGAATGCTGGAAGGAAGTAGGGATAGAACAGGGAACACTTCCCTGCAAACAGCCCTTCAGCCCCAACCAAAGGATGAGCAGCAGTGAGCCGGGCAAAGGAGAGAGACAGCAGTGGTCCTGCACGGGATCTTGTATGAGGACTTGGGGTGGGAAGTGCATCCCGTATTTGAAGAACAAAGTGGCTAGTTGGATTGGTGCATGAACAAGGAGGAGAGCTGCCCCAGGTAGGGTTGGAAGGGCTGGAGGGCCTGCACTTAGTAAGGTAAGTCATGGTAAGGATTGTGAACTTCATTCTCTGTGCAGTGGGAAGCCACTGACTAGCTTTGAACTGGAAAGTGATCATATTTGCATTTAAAAAACATTCTAGGTACCACTTGAAAATAAATTGGGTTGAAGCAGGGATGGATAAGAGGAGTCAGTGAGAAGATTTTTTGGGGGAGTTCCAGGTAAATCGATGATAGTATAGTTAATTGGAGTGCTGGCTAGAAGTATAGACTGGAAGTATCCCCCTTCAGTGGGATTTGTTGATTAACTTGGTTTGAAGGGGAGAGGAGGAGGGGGTCATGTTTTCTGGTTTGAGACAGGAATGCTGATGGAGAATGAGGAAGTCTGGGTCAGACCTCAGAGTTGGGGGGATGTTAGAGGTAGATGATAAACATTAATAAATGGTACATGATAAGTTCTTTGATAGGAACATACCATGGGAGCTGGTAGTGTTACTGAATAGTTAGGAAACGTTTCTTTGTGATTTATGTGAATTGAAACTGAATGTCTAAGAGTCACTATGAGAAAATCTAAAGAGCTTCTCAGCAAGTGGGCACAGCAAAGACAGATGACCCCAGGCAGGAGTAAGGTTGGCATGTTTAAGAAGCAAAAGCCTTTGGCTTCTGGGATTGGAATTAGGGAGAAGTTATAGGCCATGTCCTGGAGAAGCAGGCAAGGACCATGCCTTGTCAGGCTTTGTGGGGCATGGTAAGAAATTTGGGATTTATCCTTAATGTATCGAGACAAAGATGATGGAAGGTCTTGAGCAGGGGAATGTCATGTTCTACTTTATATTTTATAAAATAGAACCAGCTGCTATGTGGAGAAGAGGTTGGGCTAAGGTTGAAACAGGGAGACAAATTTGAAGCTTATGGATGTAGTGCAAATGAGCAATGATGGTTTGGGGTATGGGTGTGGTGGAGATGAAGAGAGCTAGATGAGTCCATGATGTGTTTGCGAAGTGAAGTCAGTGGGACTTGGCAATGAAAAGGATGACAAGATTGAAGGGAGAAAAAAAGAGGGGTCTAGAAACACTCCTAAGATTTTGGCTTGAACAAGCAGGATGGTTCTGCCATTTACTAAGATGGGCAAGTCCAGGGAGAAGCAGATTGCAGAGAGAAGTTAACTTTCTGTTTTGCACATGTTAAGTTTGAGGTGTCTATTAGATAGATATCCTTGGTTCACATTCAAGAGGGCTGTTGGGTGCAAGTGTGGACTTTAGGGAAGAGGTCCAGGCTGGTGCTGGAGGCATTTGGGAGTCACTTACTTTTAGTTTCAGGTTCAAAAGAGTCCCTTTGTGCTGAGCTGTAGATAGGAGTCTAAAGTGTTAATTAGTTTTTCCAGCTACATTTGTACCTAATTTCATGATTGCCATTGAGTTGTACTCTTACAAAATAAAAAGAAGAAAAGAAAGGAAAGGAAAACCATTTAAAATGTACCATATAAAAACTTAACTTGAGGTCTACTCTGATGATTTGTAACTGTTATAGAGAGATTAAAGTGATCTAAATCATGAAAAACCATATCCCAAGGGTTAGGCATCTATACAAAGTAGACTAATAATCCACTCCATATTTAAAAATTTTTAAATATTTATTTATTTTTGATACACACAGAGAGAGACAGAGCATGAGTGGGGGGATGGGCAGAGAGAGAGGGAGACACAGAATCTGAAACAGGCTCTGGACTCTGAGCTGTCAACACAGAGCCTGATGCGGGGCTCGAACCCACAGACTGTGAGATCATGACCTGAGCCGAAGTCGGACGCTCAACCGACTGAGCCACCCAAGCGCCCCTAATCCACTCCATATTTAGAACTTCATCTGATTCCAGTTTGTGCAGATTATATAGTAAGCATATTAAATATGTAGATGATAGTAAAACTATGATTTTAACATTAATGGCAATCTTGGGCATGCTAAGCGTAATTGACATATCAGTAGTATGCAGTTAAAAATGCTAAAGTTGAATAATACTATTATTTAGGAATTATCTTCCAACAGGGAAGAATCTTCTCATTTCCATTTTTGTCATGGCTATGACTTCAATCACGGTGGCTGTTGTTGTTAGTCAGGAAATGTGAGTTTGCTATTTGTTTGAGTTTTAATTCAAATACAAATGCTAATACAAGTGATAACAGTTTCTCTGAAGGTATTGCTGCCAGTTAGGCAAGGTGTGTGGGAGAAAGACTTGTTTAAAAAGAGTTTTGTTGCTCTAGTTTCCCAGAATATTCTAAACATTTGCTGTTTTTTAACCAGCAGCAGGATATATAGATTCATTTCTCTTTAGTTACATGTTCATTTTTTAGTCAATTGTGGTTGTGAACCTAAAGAAGTCATTTCACATCTTTCTATCTCTTTGTTGTCATCTCTTACTAAGTGAGCTGATGGATTGGCACAGAGCCATTTTAAACAACCTTAATGTTCTTTTCAGCCCCTCCCTTCCAGTGGAATGTCATCTATCTCATGTGAGCCAAATGAATTTTGTTTCATCATTTAGTGTTTTCAGGTTTTGTTCCTCCTCCAGCTATCTCACACCAACTTGGAACATGGCGCCACTGGAATCCACTTTTTTTTTTTAATGTTTATTTATTTTGAGAGAGAGAGAGAGACAGAGACAGAGACAGAGAGAGAGCAAGGGCGGGGCAGACAGAGGATTCAAAGCGGGCTCTGCGCTGACAGCAGGGAGCCCAATGTGAGGCTCAAACTCATGAACCGTGAGATCATGACCTGAGCTGAAGTCGGATGCTTAACTGATTGAGCCAACCAGGCGCCCCTCCACTTTTTTTTTCATTTAAATTTTATTTAGTTAACATACAGTGCAATACCGGTTTCAGGAGTAATATTCAGTGATTCATCACTTACATACGATACCCAGTGCTCATCACAAGTGTCCTCCTTAATGCCCATCACCCATCTAGCCCATCCCCCACCCACCTCCCTCTCTGAACCCTCAGTTTGTTCTGTCTTTAAGAGTCTCTTGTGGTTTGTTTCTCTCTTCTATTCCCTGACCACCCCCCACCTTTCCATATGTTCATCTGTTTTGTTTCTTAGACTCCACATATGAGTGAAATCATATGGTATTTGTCTTTTTCTGTTTGACTTATCCTGTTTAGTGTAATACATTTTGGCTCCATCCATGTCCTTGCAAATGGCAAGATCTCATTCTTTTTTGATGGCTGAGTAATATTCCATTGTATATGTGTACCACATCTTCTTTATCTATTCATCAGTCGATGGACATTTGGGGTCTCTCCATAGTTTGGCTATTGTTGATAATGCTGCTCTAAACATTGGGGTGCACGTACCCCCTTTGAATCTGTATTTCTTTTTATCCTTTGTGCAATTACTGGGTCATAGGGTGGGACCCACTTTTGTATTTTCTATCTGGATATCCCACAATCATCCTTAATTATTTGTGGATGGTGTACTATTTTATAGTTTTGTGGCTCACTATTTATGATAATTCTTATTTATTCAGAAATCCCCCATATTAGTTGCCTATAAGATGTGAAGTTATAGTTAAAGCATGGGATTAAAAACATGTCTTTGAACATACTAAATCCTCTCTGTAAGAGTTAGCTAGAAAGGTTATTTGTGCATGAAACCCTTTATATGTGTTTCCTTCCTGAGTTGCCAAAAGGATTTATTTAAAGGAGATTTTATCTGAAGTCAGTCCCTCATATAGGGGTTCTTGGACCACATGGTCTACTCATGATCTTGGCTGAATCATGTGAGTGTGGCACATTGCCCTTTAGCATCTATCTTAGTTTAGATTGTTCTTCCCCTTAATCAGGAATGAAGATCTTCCCAGAGTGGTTTTCTGCCGTATTGTTATTCTACAGTCTTCCACAGTTGTTTGTGTGATAGGGATACTGCACTGTTTACAATGGCTGAACATTTAGAACACCTTTGGATTTTGCATGAGGTCCGAGTTGTGAAGTAGGTGTAACCTATTTTCTAGAGTTCCAAGTCTTCCAACTCCTTCCCTCTCCCCATCTTTCCTTTCCCCCACCTCAGTAGCACCACCTGCCTCTCATTTTCATCCTCAGACACCTCTGGTTCCTAGTTCCTGTTCCTAGACAAAGCCTCTTTGTCCCCATTAAAAGTTGCTGTCAGCAAAGGATCTGAACATATTTATAGATGGTAATAAATGTGTGAATATTGCTTAAAATAGTTGTGTTAAGGAGAGTTTGCACTTTCAAGCCATAAAAAGTCTTAGAGTACAGTGATGAACAGCTGACTGGGCAGTTTCAGGAACAATTGGCACTGTCCTTAGCAGCAGGACTCAGTCACTGCAGACCTCAGTGGACTTCTCTGCCATCCTGTGAGCCTAAGCTCATTTAGTGGACTCTGCCACCAGCTGGGACCTGACCTAAGGTGGCTCTGTTGCAATCCCACCCTTGGAAGGCTGTGGGGGAGCCTTAAGTCACTCAGGAGCAATGGCTGGAGATTGTTCCTTAGCAGGATAGTCCAGAGCATTCTAAATAATGATGTAGAACTTGTGATAGTGCACCACAGACTAAGTGGCCATGGTTTTTGTCTCTGGTTTTTGGATGAAAACAAATAAGATGCTGTCCAAGATTCTTGTGAAGAATATGTTATATACATGAGTGCACAGCACCAGAACATCTATATAAATATTCTATTTTCATTTATGTTTTTAAGGACGTTTTACAATAAAACATTTGAATTATTTTGCATACCTCCCTTTCAGCTCCATGTTGTTCATTGGAATTCAGACAAATATCCCAGCTTTGTTGAGGCAGCTCATGAGCCAGATGGACTAGCTGTTTTGGGAGTATTTTTACAGGTGAGAATACACTGATTTCATTTTAAATAATTGATCAGTCATGTTGGATAAAAAGTTTCAGTCATGGAGAAGATAAGTCTACCACTTTAAAAATTTTTTTTTTCAACATTTATTTATTTTTGGGACAGAGACAGACAGAGCATGAACGGGGGAGGGACAGAGAGAGAGGGAGACACAGAATCGGAAACAGGCTCCAGGCTCTGAGCCATCAGCCCAGAGCCCGACGCGGGGCTCGAACTCACGGACCGCGAGATCGTGACCTGGCTGAAGTCGGACGCTTAACCGACTGCGCCACCCAGGCGCCCCTAGTCTACCACTTTTAATAGTAAACTCATTCTAACCTTAATGTTTTCCTTTTGCAATTAATATTAAAAATTTATGTATTAATTTATGATTCATCTAATAGCCCACAACTACCTTAGGAGATTTGTCTTCTGTTTCCTCTTATTGTCCATTGATCATTTTATGTGGGTAGAAACAGCAGCAGCAACAACAACAATAATAGTAGCAGGAATAACACTAACATTCTGAGAAGAAGATCTTTATTGTAGGCTCTTATTGTAGGTTTTATTGTAGGCTCTTCCTGATTGCACAGTCTTTAGAGATAACAGTCAAGTTCAAGTTCCTGATTTCTTGAAGCACTAGTTTTACCACAATGGTTTGTTGTCTCAAACACACTGACCAGTTTTTTAAAAATTTTGTTGTAGTTTCATTTGTCTAATATTCACATGGGATTAGGCAAGTATCATTGTTATAATACCCGTGGGTGGGTTGGGCTCCCACTGCACCGCATTCTTGCAGGGCGTGCACTTCTGCTTTGCCACCGACTCTGTGTGTGATGTAACTCGTTGGGGCTGGGACTGGGGGAAGCCCAGGGCAGAAGGGAGGGAGGCATGAATGGCAGCGGCTCCCTCCCTTTGGCCACCAAGTCTGCTGGTGGCAGTGGAGTCCAAGTGAAGCAAGAGATTATACTTTCATCCTGAAGGACTTAAAACCTTCAGGTCTATTCAGGACATCCCTAACAATGAAAAGAGTTACATCTATCTTTCTGATGATTCCTACTCATGACAATATATCGTTTTGGTTCAGGACCTCAAATCATTTTAGGTTGAGAATGGGAGATGTTTTCTTTTAATACTTTGATGTCACAAGAGTCTGTTTAGATGTAGGGTCTGAAGGTCACATCTGGTTGAATTGTGCAAGTATTATGTTAGAGTTTCCTAAGCAAGTTTTCTCCTAAGTTAACCTGTACATTAAACCTTCATAAAGCTAAAGAATATGTAGCTGTTACTACTCGTTTTAGAATCAAACTTATAATTCAGCCAAGGAGCCCTGTAACATTATCTTGTTATTCACATTCTCTGGCATGCTAAAGCCAGCAGGTAAAAGACAGATTCATTATAGAACAATAACTGTTTGTTCTGGGTTGGCAAAGGTTTTTCAAAAAAAGGGTTAAAAAAAAAGTGACTGGCATGGAGTGAATCAGATCTGTTCTGTTAACAACCATTTCTTTTGAAATTTCATGCTTTCAGATTGGTGAACACAATTCTCAACTGCAAAAGATTACTGACATTTTGGATTCCATTAAAGAAAAGGTACAATAAAATACTATGTGCTAATGACTTGTTCTCTCCTGAATTCTCTTACCTTCTTTTAATAACTTAGACTTTGGACATTGGATATGTTATCTGCTTTGAAGCAGGTTTGGAACACACTTGACCAATAGAGCAGAATTAACCTATTGCCAAGTGTGTTTTGAAAATTATGAAGGGGTCTTAAATTATCTAAAACCATTACTAATAAATCTATGCATACTTAGTTTCTCATATTGGAGTTTTGCACAATAAGCATTTAGTTGCAGCACATTTCAAACAAATCTTGTGCTTCTTAAATAAATTTAGGTAATGTGCTGCTTCATGTAAAATTTTTAGATTAAGGCAGATACTTTTTTTAAAGATACAAAGGCAGATACTAAATAATTCCATGAGTTAAAGAATTCCAGTAAAATCGTATTTCATGGGATGTATGTTTTTTTGAGGTCTGTGTAAAGCTATCCCATTGTAATTTGTAGGAATTCTTTTTTTTCCACTAGGGTAAACAAACTCGATTCACGAATTTTGACCCATTATCTCTGCTTCCTCCGTCCTGGGACTACTGGACATACCCTGGTTCCCTTACGGTCCCACCTCTTCTTGAGAGTGTCACATGGATCGTTTTAAAACAACCTATAAATATCAGCTCTCAACAGGTATGTCACTGCTTCAAGGTTGATTCTGATTTACTAGAGGAAACGGGACTGAAACTTTTTTAAAAAATAAAAACCCTGCCCTTAATTTCTGCTGCATTATGAAGCCTATGTTTTCCCTTCATTAATCAGATGGGTGGTTGGACCAGGTAAAACTTGTGTCCCTTTCTTATTTGACCTCCTATGATTAGATGATTTCTCTCCCAGTTGTTAGAAATGCCATGTGCATACAGACACTGAGGAAAGTGAAGTGGCTTTAAAGGCTATAATTGTTTTCTTTTTTGGTCTGAGATATAAACAGGCTGGGATATAAATGAGCAAATCAGGAGAGAGGCTACTCTTTTTTTTTTTTTTTAATATGAAACTTATTGTCAAATTGGTTTCCATACAACACCCAGTGCTCATCAAGGGGACTTTCTCCTTTTTGACCTCAGTCCCTAGACCTGCTCCTCCTACAAATTTGACATTCAGAAAGTAAGCAGTGAGAACAACAATGGATCTTTAGGCTTTTGTTGACAGAACTTTTGTGGGGCTGCTTGAGGGACTTAGAGGATTTGCTAAGGCGCTATTTGAGCATTTGCACCCGTGCTGTTTTAGTGAAGACATTTTCTCACTTGTTTTTCTGAAAAACATATTGAGCCCCCACGATAAGCCAAGCAGTCTGCAGGCTCAAGATGTCTTTGGGCCTAGAAACTCTGCTCATATCTACAATCTGTGTGACTAACCAATCTGACAGGTGGATGCTATATCTTCTGGGATGCTGTGCTTAGTGGGTTTTATTTTCTTTTTGTTTTCCTACTTGAATTACTTGCTGCAAAATCTGAATAAGAACATAGTCTAATAATTTTTGCAGCTGATAAAGCACTTCTATTTTGGGCTAGCCCACCTTCCTAGCTGTTTATTTTTTTCCCCCAATCAAAGACTAGAGCTGGTTCACCTTTTCCAAGGTCATGTCAGATAACATTTCTCCTTGGCATGTTGAACACATCCAACTTCTGTTGGCCTTGTCTTTAGGATTAAAGCCAAATAATACTCTGGAACATACTAATTAAAACGTTTTGTAAAAGTTGGGATTGAAGTCCAGAGTTTGACTGACATGGAAATTCCTGTGACTTTTTCCAATCATGAATAAGGTGCATTGTGTCATAAGAAAAATGACCTGTCACTGATTCGGTGGCCTTAGTAATGGAGTACATTTTTCTTTCCTTCATGTGTTAAACTGTTTACTTTTACATTCCTTTGTTAAATTTGAACATAAGATAGTAATAATAGGAGCTCATGTTCTTCCTCATGTTTTAAGGATATTTTTATTTCTTAAAGCCACTTGGAAAATAACTTTTTAAAATCCACCTGCCATTTGGAAGAGAGTATGTTAAAATATATAATTTAGTTCCTTAAAATGCATAAGACTAACCTAAACAAAATGACTTGCTGTAGGGGCACTTGGGTGCCTCACTTGGTTGAGTGTCTGACTCTTGATTTCTGCTCAGGTCATGATCTCACATGCGATCGAGTCCTGCCCTGGGTTCCACACTGAATGTGGAGCCTTGTTGAGATTCTCTATCTCTCTGTCTGTTCCTCCCCTGCTCTCGTGCTTGTGCTCTCTCTCTCTCAAAATAAATAAATAAACATTAAAAAAAATGACTCACTGTAAAGTTAGGAATTGTGACTAGCTGTGGATACACTGCTGTGTCTTATTTAGGTCTCAATTAATTAATATTAAGTATTAATGGGGTATTTATATGGTAGAATATATAAAATAATAGCTATATTTTAGAGCTTTAGTATGAATGATAATTCACTGTGATCTACTTACATTCACTTAAATCTATAGTAGGAGTACTTTCAGACATTTTCTAACCAGATGGACATGATTATCTGGGTAATAATCTAAATTTTTATAATATGACATTATGGTGATTTTAAGAATTAAAGAATGAAGCAAAAGATATTTTAAAAGTCCAATCCCAGTGTAACCATGAGAAAAACATCAGACAAAGCCCAAATGAGGGACATTCTACAAAACAGCAGGTCAGTGCTCCTCAAAACTGTCAAGGTAATCAAAAGCAAGGTAAATCTGAGAAATTGTCATCAAGAATGCTGAAGGAAATATGACTACCAAGTGTAATGCTGTTTCCTGGTGAGATCCTAGAACAGAAAAAGGTATTAGGTAAAAACAAAGGAAATCTTAATAAAGGATGGACCGCAGTTAATGGTAACATATTAATATTGGTTCACCAATTGTGAAAAATGTACCATGTAATGTAAAATATTAATAATGGGGGAAATTGAGTATGAGGTATATGAGAACTACTCATACAATCTTTTTAATAATTCTGTAAATTCAGAACTGTTCTAAAATAAAGAGGTTATTTAAAAAAAATCCAGGGGCGCCTGGGTGGCTTGGTCGGTTAAGCGTCTGACTTCGGCTCAGGTCATGATCTCACGGTCCGTGGGTTCAAGCCCCGTGTCGGGCTCTGTGCTGACACCTCAGAGCCTGGAGCCTGTTTCAGATTCTGTGTCTCCCTCTCTCTCTGCCCCTCCCCTGTTCATGCTCTGTCTCTCTCTGTCTCAAAAATAAACGTTAAAAAAAAAATTTTTTTTTAAAAATCCAAAGCCTGAGAGAGTCGAGATGATTATTCAGTTATCTGTTTCCTGTAAAGTAAAATGAATATGTCTTTTGTGTATACCACTTGAGAGTTACTTTCCAAACGATAATTTTTAATCTCAACTTTGGCAGCTGTTTATTTTTGAAGTCCCTGAGGCACATTGTTTTATTTATTTTCCAATTCTACCATATAATGTCACTAGCCATGAAGATTAAATTCTTTTTTTAGTGAGTTAGTGCCAAATTTTTTTTCTAGGTCTTTCTACTGCTATTTCTTGCCAAGTCACTGTTTGACCAAAAAGGCAAATCAGACAGTTTTCATTTTCTTTTATTTGATTCAAGCCCATTTTTGTCCCCAGAGTCACTTATTGAAATGCTTGATTTAATTGCCAGGCCAGTAAACAGATATGCTGTTTTCAGATAGTTTTGATAACAGATCCATCATTCTCTTTGGAAGGCTAAGCTAACTTTTCTGCCAAGTTTCTTAGGGTTATCCTAAATTATCTAAATTGGCTTACTCATCTGCTGAATTCAGTGTGCAGAATACTTGGTTTTAATTCTTTGCTCTATTTTTTAAAAAAAATCTGTCTTATTTGTTATGATCTTTGCATACAATAAAATTCATGAATTTTAGTGTGCAGTTGATTTTGTTATTGTATATTACTGTGCAGCAACCACTAGATCAAGATATGAAACAGATCACTTGGCCCGAAAATTCTCTTGCGCTCTACCTCCTTCCTCAACCATGGCTCTGGGCAGTCTTTGAGATGCTGTTCCTAGGATTCTGCTTTTTCTAGAATTTTATTTAAATGGAATCAGACAGTACATAGATTTTTGCATTTCTACTTAGCATAATGTTTTTAAGATTCACTGACTCTTACTAATATTCTATGATATGGATATACCACATTATTTTATTTTATTTTTTTATCAGTTTATTTTTTTATTATATGATATTTATTGTCAAATTAGTTTCCATACAACACCCAGTGCTCATCCCAAAAGATGCCCTCTTCAATGCCCATCACCTCCCACCCCTCCCCTCCCTCCCACCCCCCATCAACCCTCAGTTTGTTCTCAGTTTTTAAGAGTCTCTTATGCTTTGGCTCTCTCCCACTCTAACCTCTTTTTTTTCTTTTTTTTTTTCCTTCCCCTCCCCCATGGGTTTCTGTTAAGTTTCTCAGGATCCACATAAGAGTATACCACATTATTTTAAATCTATTTACCAATTGATGGACATTTGGGTTGCTTCCAGTTTGGAATAATAGCTATCCATATTTGGGTGTTAGGAATAATTGTCATATATTTTTTTGTGGACACATGTTTTCACGATTTGTGGCAGTACCTAACACTAGATTTACTAGATCATGTGGTAAATTCATGTTTAATTCTCTAAGGTACTGCCATATTGTTTTAAAAAAAATTTTTAATGTTTTTATTTTACTTTTGAGAGAGAGAGAGAGAGAGGGAGACACAGAATTTGAAGCAGGCTCCAGGCTCTAAGCTGTCAGCACACAGCCCTATGTGGGGCTTGAACTCACAGACTGTGAGATCATGACCTGAGCCGAATCAGACACCTAACTAGCTGAGCCACCCAGGCACACCTGCCATCTTGTTTTTTAATGTGGCTGTTCCATCTTCCATTCTCACCAGCAATATATGAGATTTCTAGCTCTTCCACATCCTTGTCAGCAGTTAGTGTTGTCAGTCTTTTTTAACTTTAGCCATTCTAGAGGTTATATATGATTTCTAATTTGCATTCATCTGATGACTAGTAATGTTGAGCATTTTTCTTATGTTTATTGACTACGTATATCTTTTTTTGATGAAATACCTGTTCAAATCATCTTTTCCTTTTTGAATTGGGTTTTGTCTTTTCATTATTGAATTGCAAAAGTTCTTTATACAATCAGGATAAAGCCCTTTTTAAAATACATGTTCTGCAAAGTTTTCTCCTAGTTTGTTGCTTGCCCCCCCATTTTTAAAACTATGTCTTTTGAAGAGCAAAAGTTCTTAATCTTGATGTAATTCATTATTATCAACTTATTCCTTATAATTTGTGCTTTTGATGACCTGTTTAAGATTTCTTAAATCTAACTATATGCCTCCAAATATTTTTTTCATACTTTAATAGTTGTAGCTCTTACGTTTAAGTTTTTGATGACTTATGACTTGAACTTTTATGTATCCTGCACCCCATTTTCTCATTCCTTTCCTTCTGATATTTCAATTATGCATACTTTAACCTTTTAATATCATCTAACACATCCCCGAGGTTCTGTTTCTTTAAAATAATTTTTTAATCTCTGTTCTTCACCAGAGATAATTTCTACTTATCTATATTCAAGTTCATTTGCTCTTTCCTCTGTCATGTCAATTTGACTATTAAGTCTAT